CCCATTCCCCTCTTCCCCCCCCCCCCAAATGATCATTATTATAGCCTCTGTGGGGTTATTTTTATTTTGCAAAGCATGCATTGTTTGGTTTCATTGTTTAGATTTCTATTCTATTAATCTCCTGACTTACTCACATCCTTTGGGTAATCATTAAGTAACCATTAAGCCCACTTTAGTCAGAAGCAAGTAATGAAGAGCTAGTGTGGGTTCATTAAAGGGACACTGTAGTCATCATAACAACTTTAGCTTAATGAAGCAGTTTTTGTGCATTGATCATGCCCCTGCAGTCTCACTGCTCAAATCTCTTACTATTTTACATTGTTCCCCCACCTATATAATATGTTTAAAAAGTTAGATTATATAATTATTTATTTTGTATATTGCTTGAAAAAGAGCATATATAAGGTGATTTTAAAAAAATGAACACAATTCTATCACAATTTCAAACGTTAAAAATATGGCATCACTTTATTGGAATTCAAATCTCCACCATTTAATTTTAATCACTGTTACTGTGCATAAAGTTGTAATGTAGGAAAGGAAGAATACATAAAGTTATAATAATGTTCCTTTTTCACATATTTAATCCATTTGAGGCATATTTATTTATATATACTATATAAAAGCACAGTTAAAAATAAGACTAATTGGAACAATACTTAGAGTTAAACACAGCACAATTATTCCTACATCTCCCCCAATGTGTCTAACAAATATACATATTTGATGCTGTTAACAATGCACTTATGTATTTTTAGAACTGATTATAGTAAATTCAAAAGTATTTTATTGATTATTTGTTTCTCAAGTATGTGTGAAATGTATTTAATTTGTTTCCTCCTATAAATTCAAAATGAATTAATTAATTCACTGATTGCATCCCTAGTTAAATCCATTAATATTATTAATCCGTTGCCATAGCATCTAATGTGGAACACATAACAGTCAAAATTTCTTTAAAAAAAATAAATCAATCTGTTTTTAATGGAGATTCATTCAGTTTAACCCTGTCATGATCAATAAAAAAATGAAGGCTGTCATAATTTTCCTAGCCATGGTTTTTAAAGTCTTGATATTACAATTAGCTAGTAACCATCTATTGTCTAATTAGTAATCTCATTGCTTTCATGCCAATTGCAGTACACAAAACGTTTGAATGTTTAAATGGGTATGGTGGAAAACTGTTAGCTTTCCATAGTTTAGTGTTCAGAATTCATTAAATGAACACTCCAAATATACATTGGATGGACAAGCTGCAGATATTTTGTCTGTAACGATTGCAGGCCCTTCCCTTCTAACTCCTCCCAGACTTTCTGCGGCTGTCCAATCACAGACTTCCCAATGCAGCTCATCAAGATGTCTGTGCAAGGCAGGTGCTCTGGGCAATTGCCTGCGTAACAGAACCTGTTGTCTGATTGGCAGCTAAACGTGTAACAAGGTAATTTATGAAAGTACCGATTTCTATTGAAATCTGCACTTTTTATAAGATGAAAAAAAAAGAGGACACACTCTTCACACATACAGTGTGTGGTAGACCGCCTGGCACCCCGACTGCGTGCCTCCGCCAATCGCTGCTTCCTAGCAACACGAGTACTCCTAAGCACTTCACCAGACACCCTAACCATCATAGTCCCCACAGCCAGCGTTAGGCTTGGTTAGGGTCTCACTGTCCTCCACCCACCCTTGACCCAAGACAGGGATCTAACTTCCAGTGGGTAGACCTTTCCTACTCCAGAGAGTGTAGCAGCATAGCTCTTACAAGAGCAAGTGTTGTAATCCAAGGAAGTATAGTCATTATAGCAATCCCCAGAGTAAATATAGGTGACCCTCTCCAAACATGAGACGAGGCTCTATGTTAAAGGGGGAAGAGGAACTGTTTAATGGCAGCCACAGCTGGCCTTATATGCAGGTCCCCATGCAACGGTTTTACTATGACATATTCCAGGGGGATTCACCACTGGACCTGAGAGGGGACTATGACAAAGTACACATTGTAATGACATTGGCTCTCAGGTCCAGGACACTCCCACACAAAATAGAATAATCCCTCCCCTGTGCCTAAGACATAATTCAGTCAATAACTGTACTAAACTCAATTATCTTCAGGTACAGAAAACATAAATGTTACAATCTCCCAAAAGTACCCCAAAAACACATGAAAACCACATAAAAGTCACATCCCCTGATAGCCCTGATCTGGGGGACCAACATATCCAAAAATCACCCAGATCGGTTTAGAGGAGGGCAAAATCAGTGTGGGAGGGAGAAGCTGTTATGTCTGACGGTAGCATGTAGTACGCGCTAACAACATATGTAAATTAAGTGCAGAATTGACATTAGACAATAGGGAGAGTTACAGACTCTCTAAGCCAGGTGTGCCGAGCATTCAACTAGCTCCCAGCACACAATTATCTCTGGATGTGCAGTGTTTCAAGCAGACTGTAGCAGGGAGGTTTAGTGGCTTTGGTCCTTAGGGTGTCCATTTAATAATGGGTGTACATGTTCCTGCTACTTCATAATATCAATGTGGGAACATGCCTGTGTCCACCACTTCCATGCATGGAAGGTGGTAATAATATTAATAAACATTTATGTGGGGCATGCCTTGTTTTTGTGTTTTTTTTCCATTTTCATGAGGTTTTCATTTTAATAGATGTCACATAGTATAGCTTTTTATTTAGTCTTTTGCGGGGCTGAAAAAAGATTTTAGAATATCGAAGAATTTTGAAGGCAAGTATGATTTTTTTTTTTTTTTATAGGTATATCTGTTTTATTAGTGTAACCTTTTTTTGCCCTGCTCCTGGCAACAAGCCGCAGCTAGCAGCAGTTACACCTTCTTCTGTCGCTGACAGGGATCCTGAGCCTCTGCTATAGTTGGGAGATCGGGACATCTTGTTTTGACACAGTGCCTCCACTCAGTGCAACTTCTATTTATGGGGAACCCACCCCAGTGAGTAGATGAGTACCCTCCACTTAATAACTCAGAGACATGAAATAACTACAGACATGGAAATACACACTGTATTGTGGTTAAAGAGATACACATATAACAGCAGAAATAGCAATGCAGTTCCTGGCTAATGTTAAATGATGATAAAGTCCCTGATGTCGGAATGATACAGTCACAAGAGTCTTTAGCAGCAGGAATGCAGACAACAATCTTCCCTTAATAATATCAATAACTACATCTGAACAGTTAAACTCCTAGGTACCTGCAGGTAAATTATGTGCACAACGTTGGGGCCCTTAGGTGTAGGTAGCGCTACCCAGATACAGTTATAAGGCAGAATCCTGAAGCAATCTCTGGAGACAGTACCTTTGAGTGACTTCTGTATCTCCAGAGAGATCCAGCAGAATGTAGGACAGCAGCAGAACAGCAATGGCAATCCTTTCTCTTCCTTCTGCCCTTCCTCCTCACATGACAGGGCAAAGGGCAAAGTTCAATATCTCAAAACTTAAAGCAAAACAGCAAAATATAGCAGTCTGTTAAATCAGTTTACATTTTTTTTTACGTCAGTTTGGTGATATAAATACATTTGAGATTGATTTAAAAAAAAAAAATTGCTGCGCGTGCGCATTCAGCCCAGGAGGAGGAACAGAGGAGGATCGGAGGAGGAGAGCTCCCCGCCCAGTGCTGGAAAAAAGTAAGTTTTTACCCCTTTCCCCCTTCCAGAGCCGGGCGGGAGGGGGACCCTGAGGGTGGGGGCACCCTCAGGGCACTATAGTGCCAGGAAAACGGGTATGTTTTCCTGGCACTATAGTGGTCCTTTAACTTTCAATTAATTTTTACTAAGCACACATGTACTGTATTTGAACTTACAAAATACAAGACTTCCTATTTTCTGTCTCTACGGCATTACACTACAGCAGTGATTAAGTAGTGCAATAAAAGCATTTTGTTAATTTTGATATACCTGCCACAAATTGCATCTCTAAAACACAATTAAAATTGTTACTTAAGGGATTTAAAAAAACAATGTGTGAGATGTGCCCATTTAAAATTTGTTATAGGTCATAGGAGAAAATTTTTTGTAATTAAAGTGAATGAAAACCTCATTAAGGATCCATAATAAACATGTGCTTTAAATAAGGTTTGGCACGGAAGGTCATACGATTTTAATATAACTTATTCATCTATATACAATTATCGCTTGTTGGGGATAATGAGATCTCCTACCTTTTTTTTATTTAATTTAGTTTAATATTTATTTAATAAAACTGATATATTTTTCTTTTGTTCCTAGCTACCTAAAATATGAGCTAAAAATATGCACTTGTGGGGGCAGAGCCTGACTATCAAGCAGGCAAGATGTGTCTGGCATGAGCTCCTGCTGTCTGAGTGGTATACTGAGTGGTATACTGAGTGGTATACTGAGTGGTATATTTCTCGGGCTGAAGTGCTGAAAAATCTACTCCAAGGAGACCTACATGCTAAGGACTCCTTCACGCAACTTTTGATACCTGAACCAGCGCCCTGAGACACCGGGAACCGAGTCAGTAGGCTATGGCCTTCAAGAGACGGTGAGGGGGAAAGGTGGGCGCTTTCCACTGCACGTATAAAAGTGACTCTCCTACCCTTCCCCCCACCCCCTCTTTTGGAGGGGGTTATCCCGGTCCCCACTGAACCCACTCTAGGTGTAATCACAGCACTTACTGTCTGACAGGTGCTCTCCTGACGCTGCCACAGGCACCCTTCGACCCTTCAAAATGGCGGACGCAACGCCTGGCGCCACACAAGGTCTGAGCCCATCACGGCAGCTGTACAGTGACTCAATTGAATCCCGCCTGGACAAGATCTTCCAGACCTTCTGGCAGAAGCTCGGAGCGTATGGTTATAACCCCTCCAGAGACAAAAGCGGACAGAGGGAGACCAGCGGTACCACAAAAGAATGGACCAGAGCAAAGCAAACCGACCCTGCCAAAAATGGTATGCCTTACAGTGTATCGATCCGAGCCAAGAACCACGAGAGGTCATACCTCTCTGCATCAGCCACACAAGTCAAAGCTTGCATGCCACGAGTGGCCTGCACCACCACCACCGAGGTCCTCTGACTGCCCTCGAAGGGGAATGGACTTGGCCCCTTGGATACAGCAGGTCTGTGGAACGAAGATGCTGGACCTCAGAAAGGCTTGGGGCTGGATGGATTTCCTTCCACACAAGGGACAGCAGTGGCCTATGTGACCCATTATGGACGCTCTCCTGCCTTGCCGCTCAGAGGGATTGGCTGATCCAGCTTTTGTTTAAATGCTATACAGTATTCTTAGTTATTGTTTCTTAAACTCTCTTATATTAAATGTGAATACTATGACCAGTGCAGCGTAACAGAAATGGTAGTTTCAGTGGTTAATATACAGGCTCCTTAAACTATTGCCTTATCCTCAGACAATGCATTACCAACCTATTATGTCCCTCAACTTATAATGTTTAATAGAGTTTTCCACTTTTGTTACACGGAGGCTTCATAACAGCTTAGACATGTCTCTCTATTCAACCCAGATTGTCTGATAGCAATAACACTCAGTGAGTTTTCATCGTATTTCTTGCCTGTGTTTAAAGTTTTTGACATGTTTGCCTTGCATGAATCTCTCATACTATAAAACTGTGCTGATAGCCTGTCTTCTCTAACTCCCTAAAATGTGCTATTGTTCTATGATATGATAATGTTCATTGTTTGTTGCTTGTGCCCGCTGTCGTGGCGTTGCAAGCATTTTATGTAATTGAAAGCACAACAAAAATAAATAATAATAAAAAAAAATATATATACACTTGTGTGTAATATCTTTTTAAAGGAATATTCCAAACACCATTACTACTACTGCACACTGTAGTAGCTGTGGTGCATTTTGGGCCACCATGGTTCACCTAACATTGCAAGGAGTAAAAATACTTTTGAAAGGTGCTGTTCCCTGCCTCCACTATGATCTGCCATAAGTAGGAACTGTAGTGATTATGGTGTTTTCAGTGTCCTTTAATAATTCAATGTTTTTTTGGTAACTCTCTTTAGTGGCACATGTGACCAAACTTTTTTTGAGACCTGAGCGGGAATTAACCAAAGAGCAAGCTACTGAGCTCCTCTAAGCTTTTGTCCGTTCAGAGTTCTCATATTCTTTGTTTTTGTTATAAAGTAACATGCCCTTTATTGACCCGAATGGCAATTCACAAGGACTAAGATTGGTTAGATAAAATCTCTCCTATAGTTAGCAGAGTTATGTAACCTGATAAATTAATCACAAGCTCAGGACGCCAGTATTATAAACATCTTTTATGGATGAAGCACATCCATTGAGCACAATCCTTGCTAATTTATGTGCTTTAATTGTCTGCTAACATATTTAGTTTTGGTTTACAAAATGGAACAAAGCTCACAGTAAGATTTACTATCTAATGCTATTGAATGAACTTTATTGATTTACTTTATTGTTTTAAAAATGTGCGCACACACCAAAGATGGACACACAAATTAACTAAGGAAGATTATACTCCATAGCCTAAAGACTTGCAGACCCCAGTGGCCATATATATAAATTCGTACTACCTCCAAATATTGACAACCAAGATGAAAGGTATTTGCATTCATTAAGGTATAAATCTCAAGAGAGATGAGTCATTAAAAAACAAACAGGCAAAAAAAAAAATTCAATCTTGTAAAAAAAAAATTTGAGTTTTGGTTAAATATGTTGTGGGTTAAATATAAATAATGTGTTTTGATTATTAAATTGATATCAATTTGAGGGAATATAAATCAGAGAAAGTTTAAGCATGCTGATGTGGCATAGTATTTTTCCTCATTACTAAGAAGTATAAAAAATGCACGAAACGTGAAGGTAAAATAAGCATTTAAAAAGATATATTCACTGTTTCTCTCAAAGTACTCATTGGTATAGCATCAACTTCTCTTTAAAAATCAATCGCTTGATTTAAAGCTGGCTGAAAAAAAATTGCAAAATCAGCACTTTTTGGAGCAAACTGAATGACCATTTTGGCAATCTGCTTTAGCAATGCATGGGGATTTTGCACTTGTCAGCTTGACTTTGTCTATTTCCAAAGTTTAATTTCTGGTAAGATAGAGGCAGCCATTAAACTTTAGCATGTAGCATGGAAACAAATTGGTAACTAGCACCTTCTATTATTCTCTATGGAAGGTAACGAGACTTGTCAGCCAGGAATTACAGTCGCCAGTGGTGGGATTTTGTAGAATGAAACAGTAGCTACTCACTAATATTAGTGACGTCAATTATAGGAGAAACATACCATATAGGCCATCACTTTTCTCCAGACCCTATTTCCTATGTCCAGTTACCTACCATAAAGTGGGAAGTCTGTAGACTACAGCCTAGCACCCCTTCCCTGAGAGGTCCTCTCCTCGCACCACGTCCTTCAGAGAAAGATTTGCCTATGCAAATATTATATAATGCTGTATATTGACCTATATACATAGCTGCTCTGATTTTTGCTAAATCAGACTCTCATCATTCTGAGCACAACTGTGATCAGTACATGCATGGCCCTAAAACACAAACCTAGGAATATACAAGGAAGGTATACATACTGGTTCTTAGAGTGGCCGGGCCACCACTGATAAATTAATCAAAATGTGTGCAAGCAGACACAGAATAAACTTTAACAAGCCAAAGTCAGGGATAACAGAGGTACACAGAAATGACAAACAGACCTAGGTCAGGGTTACAGAGATCAAGAATGGTCAGACAATTCAAGGTCAGAAAATGAAATAAGTAATATATAAATGGAAAAGGGAATAATAATAGGACAATGAACTAAGAACAACAGGAATTTAAATACCCTATACTGAGTAGTGATTGGTTACATGTATTAGTGATGTCATGAGAAAAATACATATCATAAAAAGGTGCCATATCTCTTTACATATATAAAGAGACAGAGTTTGAGTGTTCAGGACGAGTGTGGAGCATCGGAAGCTGAAATCGGAGGTTTCTTGGATCAGGCAGCTTAGTTCATTGGGAGTTTGTGGTAGCAAAGAGCAGGGATGGTAGATAATATCGTGGCACTAGATTAACATACACAAACGGCATCTTCTACCTTATGTCGCTCCACCTTTTCTTCTTTCTTTTTCTTTCATATATTCTTTTTCTTTTTTTTGTCTTGGCTTTGTGTTTTATTATATTCATTTAATGCACATGCATGTTTAATTAACTGACAGTGAGGTTCAAGACTCCTATGTTTTCTAGGTTTACTGCATTATTTTAAAATCCTAATAAAATTATTATAAACCATACTGATAAGATAAGGGAAACTGCACTTTCCTATATAGTGCAACTGGCTTATTAGCAGGGTCACAGAATAGGCTAAAGATGTTCTATCTTTTCAAAAGTTAGATTACACCATATGTAATATACTAGGTGGCCAAAAGGACTGTGTAAATGTTATGGCCCATTCCACCCTATATGTGTTTGTTTTTCAAAACTATGCCTCTTGTGTATTAAATCATTACATAATTGCGTCATTTGAAACACACAGCACCGGAAGAAGGGAGTATTGAAAAATCAGACACTGGGCTTTAAAGGTGCACATTTGGGCCAGCATGGGTCAGAATTCTTCCCCTCCTCACTCTCCCCCAGAACAAAGGATCTCATAGTTCTCCTGTGTTCTCACCTGTAATATGTGATGCTCCTTTGTATCATCTTCTCCATTCTCTCTGAAACACATCCTATAATGGGTGAATTAAAGAGTGACCTTCAGACTGATGATGGATGGTCAATGTCATCAGAGTCTTCCGATAATTCCTTTGACAATTTAATTACTATATTACTTTCAAATATAGTCAACCAGCACTCGTATCTGTGTTATCAAGACCTATTTTTCAGTTCTGGATGTTTAACTTGCACTTTTTAAACTTGCCTCATGTAGCTTACCTTGAAAATACAAAGGAATGCTATTCCATTCAATCATCATTCTTAATGCATTTTTTAAATATAATAAATAATCAAATTTTAGAAAGTAAGCTATTTCACATTAATTTGCTAGTTGTATAGACTGCAGCATGAAAAACATTCAAGAGTGATGGTAAATACACTTGAGGAATCATTTTTGGTCTAAACTATAATTTGTAAATTACTATTTTTAGTTTTAGTTTCTTTACTTATTAGAGGTTAACCCCCATTTTGAAGGTGTTCACGTTAATTGGGTCTACCAGTTTTCTTTCTTTTTTGTTGTGAATTTTTAATGCTACTTAAGCTGTTTGCTGGCCATCCATTGACTAACCAAAATTCACTCTTAGGAATCATTTCACTGTTAGGAACCCATGACACAGAATAAGCAAAGTAGATGTGATGCAATTCATAAAGCTTATGTCAAAAAATTATAATCTTGCAGCATTTCTAACCTTTCTACCCACCGAAAAACAATAAGTTTAGAGACCTTTATCCTCACCATGCATATAGAATTTGTCTAGCCTTTATTGCATGAATCTTTTCACTGCAAGGCCATAGAACAAAATCCAAAAAATTTTAAATTGACACAAAAAGCGCTACATTAGTAGAAAAGAAAAAAGTAGCATTTTACACAACAGGACTTTTTTTAGGTGATTAGGCAACAGGGACTCTTTAGGTGTGCTAACAGGACAGACTCATCAGAAACGTGGTTTACATTACTTTTGAGTACTGTGAAAGCTATTCAAAAAATATAAATTAATGCACTCTAAGCGTACCAGTAAAATTCTGTAAATATACCTGTTAGCCAGCACCAATCAAACCATCGAATGCGTCAGAGTACATTTATCTGGGATTATTTTTAATTTATTAAATTATCTGGCACTTCTTACACTCCATAAAATACAAATGTTCCCAAGTGTATCTACTCGAATAAATGTTTGCACCATATGAAGCTTATTTATTCAGGACCAGTGAGCACTAAGCCCATTGTAAGCATTTATTAACCTACAAGTACCAATGTACCAAAGTGTCAATGCAAGCACTGAAAATTTCCATCTTCACTGTTAAGGGAAATCATCCCCTTCTTTTCAGTAACACATGACAATATGACATTACCATGGGTGGATTGACCACTTGGGGCATCAGTCATTGTCTGAAGGCCCAAGGCAAGCAGAGGCCCATATGCGTAAACATGGCCTAGAAAGGAAGATCGGAGGATCTTCTTATCTGGCCTGGTATCATTTAATGTGCTTTGTTCTAACGATAGTTGCAGACCTCTGGTGGTGAATGCCCGG